TTCCATCCCCATCTCCCCCGCTCCGCAACACAAAAGTTATTTCCCCCAGTTGCAATTAAACTTGTGCAGCGCGGCCCCCTTTTCGGAAGAAATATGCATATAAGCAGGCAGCAAATCATCCAGCACAGGATGACATGGACCCTCGAACGGGAGTTCTACCACCTCACTCCTTCTGACACCTTTCCACCCATACGAACGCTCCAGGGTCAAAATAAGTTTTCCAGTGAGGAAGATGCCCGGCTATAATAAAATCTTACCGCGGGGGGTGTCACAAATCATTTAAGAAACCACCTTTGCTAAAATAATATTTCCTTTAAAATAAATTCGGGATTCGCAAATCACGGTTTGGTTTGAAGAGGCATGAATTCTATTATATGTACAATTTAATCACGGGGTATTTAAAATAGACATTTCCATCTAAAATCCAATCAGAAATCAACTCAGTACCTCGAGGCATTAAGATGATCATCTCCACTTTGCATTTGTAAACTGGTAGAAATAAATGTGGCTTGTGGATACCAAGAGGTCAAGTACGGCTGCTCAAATATTTTTCTTACAAAATGACGGATTTATTAGACAAATAAGTGGCCCGGCTGATGCAAAACCCCCAGTGATTGAATTTTGACGTTGAGTCAACAACAACTCGAACTACATCAGTGCTCCAAGATTTAGTTATGATGGTAGAGATTACTGAACAAACAGGAGGCAGAAATGAATACAGATTTCCTAGGATCTGCCCCTGGCACCCTCCTCTTGACATTCCCCTCCATATGCTATCCCTATTCACAGTGTATTCTAATTAAAGGACTGGGCTATGTCTTCTAATTTTACAAGAACTTTTAAATAATTAGTCTGGTGTGTGTTAAAAGGGACAGCTTCAGACATAAGGGGATTTCGGTCCCTTTAGGATCTCTCCTCGGCTTTGCAGTTATCATAGTCCCCTCCATGAGGAAGGGAGGAAAGCGCCTCTGATTTGATTGCAGAAAGATGTGAACCCTGATCAAACTGCCGTATGCAAACACAGGCGTCCGCGGCTCATTTCCAGCCCATTCAAAGAGAATGCCTGGGGAGGGGATGGGGGGGAAGGGTTGTGTCTGCGATTTTGGTGTGAGACTGGGTTTTTTTTTTTTTTCCCCTTCCCAGTGGAAAAGATATTGAGGGTTCAACATTCCGGTGAAAATCTGCCCGGATCCCAATCGCCTCTGAAACCAGGCTGGGCAGTAGCCTGCACTGCCCTGATAGCGGAATTTTTACCCCTCTGAATTTGCCCTCTCTCGTTCCCCCCTCCTTTTCCCCTCCCTGTCTCCTTGCCCCGCTCCCACCCTACAGGTGTGTGTATCCAGAGAATTCCCGGGTCCGGGCGCTGGGAGCGAGCCGTGTACTGGCTGGAAAGCCTGCGTGAGCCGGGCGAAAGCCGTGTTACTCCTGCTTCATTTCTTCAGCGCTCTGGAGCGTTACTTTTACTTGCTAATCACGAAGGGGCGCTTAAATAATTGAGAGTACGTTTAAGCATAAAGCAGTCAGTTTCTAATCTTTTCAGGGGAAAAGGGACTAATCTGCACCTGCTGTGAGAGCCCTTTTTTTATTTATTCTGTATATTACTTCCACTCCAAGCTGGACCTGATGGCTCCAATTACAGTTGAGCCTTGCAGAATCCATACCCTCCCTTTCACAGCCCTTTTCTCTGCTCTCCTCCGCAGCAATAAACTTTTCCTTGGCAGAGAAAAGGGAGCGGGGTGATCTTAACAGACACCATTTAGCCGAGATTATAATTTATTTATTTTTTAAGAGAAGCTCTTCAGAATTCCCAAGGTCTCCAAATCTTCCTTCTTTCTATTGCCTCTACTGTTTCATATGCATATTTGTAGAAAAGAGAAGCACATGCAGGCTCTCACAGTGGTCTGGATTGTTTTTTGGGGTTTTGGGTTTGTTTTTGTTTTTGTTTTTAACAGAGGATGGTTCGAGAGGAGTGTTTTAAAGTAGATTTTCTCCTATTAAGCGTTTGGGAAGAAATTGTTTAATAAGCCTTTCCTGTACTACCTATTTTCCCTGCCGTGTTTTTACTTTGGGCAGAGGTATCTCAGAGTATTGCCAAAGTTAATTCCAGATTTTTATCACTCTAACCTACTTAGGATGCAAAAAGGGAAAAAAAAATCCCGTCAAATTAAAGTGAGTCCTCCTGTCTTGCCTTCTCCCAGCAAATAACTTGCAGCACCTAATAAATCTAGATGGAGTTCCTCATATAGCCCCGTGCAGAAATAATTATTGTCCTGGCTTGTTTCATGTCAGAGGCCTCTTTGGCTCATCTGTCATGAAACCAATTTCACTTTATTTACATCCATTTGCTAGTTTAATTACTGTGCTGATGAATAGCCTGAAGGAATTAAGTTACGAGTCTTTGGAAACCTAAAACGACAGATATATGGGTTACCTTTTAAATAGAGGAAGAAAATGATGGGTGGTGTGTGCACCAAAATTTAAAAGTAATAAGAGACTCTTTGCTTGGTGGAAATGCAGAATCAACTGACGCTCAGCCCATGCATTTCCCTCTGTCTTAATGTAAAGTACTGCTTTGAGAGGCACTAGTATTTTTGCAGGTTTAATGCAATCTGTATTAAAGCAAAGGTTCTGCAAGATGGGTGCCAGCTTTAGATCTAAGCATAGATGCACTCATTATTTTTCCAACCACAGAAAGAGGAAAAATGTTAGAAAATAAGTCGAAAGTAAGACTTAAAGACTGACTTCAACATAACCCATGCACTGTACCTTACAATACATAGCAATAGGGTTACTATTCTATGTCTGCAATTGCACAAAGTCTCAAGTGCCTCTTCCCTCTTACTTGCCTCTCTGTGATGCTCTGTACAAACACAGGGAATTTCAACCAGCTAGGGGACCTTGTGCTTTTTATATAAACCTGCAAAGCAGCAAAGCTTATCTTTGTGTTAGCTGTAGCCTGCATCCATCCTTTCCTCTTCTTCGGGTGTTTCTCCCATCATCTGCATCACACACATGCGTGTCACTCGACTTGGAGCTCAGGGGTAGGGAACCTGCCCCATCCACCCGCAGGGTCCCTGCTGCAGGATCCTGGCACACTGAAATGATCCTGCCCTTCCCTCCTCCACCACTCAGGAACTTTCCTGAGCCCTTTTCCAGAGCTGCTGCTGCTTTTATAATAATCTAGAAATTCAAAACTTTATGCAACAGGTGTCTGAACGAAAGGTCAGTCTCTTTCATGCTCCCTCATGGTCACCGTGAAAGGAAAAAAAAATAAAATCCGGTGGCCTCGGAATTAGGTGGGAAGTGTCAATTGCAGGGGCTGTGCCCCAATGCGTCACCCACGGACGGGCAAACGAGGTCCAGGAGGAGCCCGTGCAAGCATGTTCATTCCAACCCTGAAAACAAAGTCCCCCAAAAACCCTGTCCTCCACACAAAAGTAGAAACCAGACCTGAGAGCCCGTGCATCTTCTCAGGTGCTGAGCCTGAAAGGCAGAATTTTATGTAGGGACTTTGAGGGCTGCATGAAAAATTCACGTACACAAGAGCTTTACAGCACTCTCCTATACAGACTGCTTCTTCTCGTTCTCCCGGTAATTTTGTGGATCCAACCCTTTCTTGGATCTCACGTGGGACAAACCTTCCTTGAAGATATGATGTGAGGCAATAGGCAATAGGGCAGATATGAAAGCGGTGAGGATGGCCAGAGCTCTGGCTGCCTGCGGGGGAGACGATGCTTGATTCGCTAGAAAAAGCCTTCTCCTCAGACACACCCTCCGCAAGGAGATGGCTGAAGGGGTGGACAGAGACCCCCTTTGTCACAGAAGTTGAGCAGCACTTTAAAACCAAATCCTTTGCCGGGGGAAACGCGACGCCTTCCCCCTTTCTCCCTCAAATATCGCTATCCACTAACCCGAGCTGGTTATACCGAGGCTATAAAAGAGCAGATCAAAAGAGAATTACAGCTGCCTATTCGAGGTACTCCGGGTCTTTATATCTGGGAGAAATGAAAGGAGAAAGTGTACAGCAGCACAGGGTGGGGTATGAAAAGCTCCCTTCCCCCGCTCGCTGCCTCTCGCCTCTCCTCTCTCCCCCTTTGATTAATAGATCCATGTGGCTAACGGCCTGACATATGGTGTGCGAAGCAGCTTGAGATGGCACCTCGGGCATGCCCTACGGCTATTAACATATTACAGGCTTCTGTGCAGCCGCAGACGGACAGGGGGAGAGTCGGGCAGGCAGGCAGACAGACAGACAGGCAGGCAGACAGACAGGCAGCCTCCCCTCGCCCCGCCGGAGCTCTCCGTGGTGCTGAAGCTGCGCTCCGCTCCGCCCGCCGCTCCGCCTGCGCGCTGCCCGCCCGCGGCGTCTCCGCCGTGCTGCAGTTCAAAAAGCAGGCGTGCACGCCCAGGCGGATTTGAAAGCCCTGCGCCGCTTTCAAACGAAGAGCAGGAAAGAACATCGGCATTGCTCCTTGTACATAATCTGGGAATTTCTGCCTCTCCCTCTATTTTTTTTTTTTATTCTAGATTTTAAAAAAAGATGTTTCTATATATATAAGTCCTCTACCACAGAGTACGCAAAAAATGCCTTCTGTGGAATCCGGTAGCATGTACAATGCAGTGTCATCTTGCAGTGCAGAAAAGACTTTCCTGCCAGTGATCCAAAAGTTAGGGAACTCTCACCTAATGCACCTGGCGGTGTGGGAGAGAGGTTATTTTCAGCAGTGGTGTTTGCAAGGAGGAATTATATTAGACAAAAAGTGGCTTAGAATGCAGCAAAACCTGAGGTTTATTTGATGCATTTCAATGGTTCTGACAGAAACATACATCTCCCCCTGCACTCTGCCTTGTAGATAGCTGCCCCGACTCCTTATAACTTTGTTCTGGCTGTTTGGTTGGGAAATAAATGCTAACACCAGATTAAACGTTTCAGGTAGCTTCATCTTCTGATTTCAGTAAAATAGTGTTAATAAGGAGCTTTGATGTTGTTTTACTTTCAGACTGTATGCCTTAAGGCAGAAAAGCGCATAAAGGTACCTGGGAAAGTAAATTGCCAGAAGCGAAGAGCACCCCCCTTTCAAAATCCTGTAAGTACTCCTCTCTCTCACATCAAACCGACCCTATGCAGAGCAGCGCTAGCTTTCTGGGATTTCCTGGCTTTCACCGAAATCTCCTCTTTCAATGCACACACGGCGACATGTGCCTCTGTGTTTATGTGTGTGCACATTTCAGTGTTAGCAGCTGCAATGAAACTGAAGGTTATGGGGGAAAATACAAAAGGGTCATTGCCGTAGCTGCTCTATACTGTGATTATTTTCTTTTTCCCTAATAAGAATACAAAATCCCGTGGGGTAAAGCCTCCTAGAGATTTTCAGTGAGGAGTAAAGCCGATGCAACGTGAGTAGAGAACTGTAGATCTCCACCACGCTGAAGCAGCCCGGAATAAAAGTTTCATATCCTGTACATACATTTGGGGCTTCCTTAGCTATTTCTCCAGTAGCCCCCTCTATTCTTTCTGGAGCCCAGCACTTGAGCATTGCAGGTTCCTCACACACAATCAATACATTTTGCATAACACCAGTCTCCCTCGAACGCTCTCTTCTTCTCTTGCTCCCTCTCTATTCTGCTTTGCCTCTCGTCGGTGGCCGGGGTTTCTACATGGGGCTGTTATAAAAAGAAATTAGCGCCGGCGATAGAGAGTCTCAAAAACAAAACCTGCTTGGTCGCGTCAGAAATTTCGCCGGAGCCCACCACAGCAACCTTTCAAGCACGCGGTTCGGCTTCAGACAGACACAGCTTGTCTCCCTCCAGTATCTCCTCTCCCCCCCCCCTCTCCTATTCCTCTTACAGCAGCGCTTTAATAAAGTCACATAAGTGATTGAAATTAACATAAATCATTATTAGTTATTAGGATTTGCTCTAAATTACTCTGTGAATATAACACCAAACCCCATCTGCCACTCCTGCTCTAGCAGCAATAGATTGCAGATAAAATAAATGTCCTTACCCCATTAGAATGTTCCTGTCTCTGTAGCCAAAAGCCAAACAAAAGCAATAAATACAGAGCTTTTTTCTCTCCACTATTCAGCTGTGACTGTTTTCATCAGCTCTTCCTCTAGAAAAGCTCAATAGCTGCCTGAAAATATTGCATTTTATATCACCAAAGGGCGATTAATATTGCATTAACTGTATTTAACATTTTTTAAGCGCGAGTAATCTGAAATGAGTAAGTTTCTGTTACTAAATACAGGGGATGTCAGAGCTGGTGAAAACAGCTTAAAATATCTGTATAAACAGATTATTTGTTTCATACTTTGTATTTTTATAATGTTATGGTATAGTGTGCTCTGTTTGAAGTAGAAGAAGCCATGCTAATGGTCTGTTTAAAGTATTCTGACACTGTCTGGAGACATCCAAGTCTCTGCCTTCATTAAATGTTTATTGTCAACACTTCAGTGAAAAAAAAGTCTTGTGTAAGTGAATTTCCACTGCTGGATGCTGTCAACACTTTGTTTTATTCTGATCCGCGTATACAAAAGTTTGTATACATTATGCTGAAGTGAAGAGAGGCAGAGATTTAGTGGGCTATAATTAGTTACAGAACAAACTTTTGTTAGTAATTCGGTTTATATAATGACCATAATCAAGGGCTAAGTTATGTATATTGGCGCCTCGTCTCCTTTCCGCGCAGCCCCTAAAAAGATATATTCATGTTGACATGCTATCTTCTTGTCAAGGAACACCCTTTTAAAAATAAAGTAAAAAAAGGAACAACAACAACAAAAAAGAAAATCAAACCAGAAGGATACACACAGATCTTACATCTCTTAGCTCTGCCTCACAATTTAAAATTTCTTTCTTCCACTCGGGCAGGGGATGAAAAAGCCCTCTCCTTACGCTGGTGTTTGCAGCATGAGCCGTCTGTCTGTCTGTCTGTCTGTCTGTCTGTCTGGTGCGGCTGCCGGACCAGGGCTCGGTTTGTGCCCGCACCGGGACCCGCTCCGCGCTGCAGCCGGGCGAGCGGCAGGATCGCTAGGCATCCTCACCCAGCGAGGCACTTCGGAGCCTTTTATGGCTCGCTTGTGGAAATCAGAGAGAAGTTACAATTTATCTTCAACGTACCAGGGCCGAGTGTCTTTTAAAAAATTATTAATTTTTATATAAAACCTTTTAAATTCTTTAAGTACGACGTTTAGAGTGATTAACGTCTTAAGACATCATTTTTTAGAAGTAATTTTCCCTACCCCCGGACTGCCTGATAAATTTTAATTTTATATTAAAACAAAAAGAAGTGTTTAACCACTTTTCCCCCAGAGTTAGAGATGCTTTGGTACACTTAGGTAAGCAGGCTGAAGGAGTTAAAAAGCAGTTCAAAGGAGGACGTCTGCTTTCCCAGAGGGGCAGTGACTGCAATTTGGGAAGCAGATTTTGCATGTGCAGCTGTCCCTGGACGAGCAGCCCCGGCGAGCTCCGGAGCGGGGCTTGGCTGGCGACAGGGCCATAAACCCGCACCCGCGCTGGGACCGGGCTCCGGCCCCTCTGCCCGCGGGAGCGCCGCGCTCCGCCCGCCCCGAAGCTGCATGTGAAGCCAGCGGGCGGAAAGGCTCTCGGCGGGCAGGGCGAGCATCCCGCGGCGCCTCCGCCCCCCGCGGAGCAGCAGGCGCGGTGGGGCCGCTCCGCCCGCCGCTGCCCTCGCCGGTGCGGGAGGGAAGGCGGAAAGTGCGCCAGTGCCCGCGGGCTGCCCGCCCTGCCGGCGCTGATGCCCCAGCGCTGCCCGTCCGCCCGCTGGGCCCTCCGGTGCGGGCGCTCCTTCTGCCGCGGCTGCTTCGTCAAAGATTTATACGTGACATCTTATTTTAAATTAACTTTTGAGCCCTGGGTTTCATTCATCCATCCAGGCACCCACCCACCCGCCGCCTGCCTATCTATCTTGCTACGATGAGAAGAGATTCGCTTGCAGTTTTACCGCCTCGGTCTCATCTCTGGGACCTACATATTCAGCTGACCTGTATATCCACCCACTGCTTTTCTCCCAAACCGAGCCTCCTTCAGGTGCGAAGGGGTCGCAAAGGAGGAAAAAGGAAAAGCTTCCCAAAAGCGGAACGGGGAAGGGAGGGAAGGGGAGGAGGGGGGGAAGCGTCGTGCAGCACGCCTCCCATCAAGCTGTCTTGACAACAATTACTAAAGTTTTTAATTAGCCTCTTGTTATAATTCATTTTATTAATTTTCCAAATCTCAGCCCATGAATTATTAACGGCGGCCCCGTAATTGTGTTTGCGGCGGCGCACGTGACGGAGGCGGCCCCGCCGCGCCCGCACTCCCCGCGCGTCCCCTCCGCGCCCCGGCCGCGCAAGGAAGGGAGCCGGGCAGCGCCGGGCCCGCGGTTTCATCAACTCTTAAATAACATAATTACCCGTAATCAGACCCTCGTCTGGCAGGTGGAAACAGGTTCCCAAGCGGATTAGAATTCTGCTGCTGATCTTTTAAAAATCAATTAGGCTTGCCTCCGCTTTGGAATCAGCAGGTAAATATAATAAAGCTTAAAAAAAAAAAAAATAGCGCCGGCTGAAAAGCGAGATATAAATAACTGGAGGGATTTAAAATCGTTTGGGAAATGCCAGAATAACACAGGGCACCACCGGCGCTATCAAGCTTTATGCGCTCGAGTCCGTCAGAGTTAAAATAATTATCTTTCGACAAATCTATTTCTCTTCGGAGGAAAGGGGTAACACGGGGAGGAGGGGAGGGAGGCACATAAACCATAAAGTCAGTGCTGTAGGACACTTCATTCTCCTTCTGGGAAGTCTTTTTACTTGTTGAACCAGGACCGAATTAGTCTTAATATCACAGGAGAGTAAAAATCAATACGACCGTGGCAGTGGGTGTCTGTTACTCACTTATGATGGCCTAATCTAAGTTGAAAGCAAGCGGAGAGCAAGTGTTAGGCACAAATTCCGGGAGCCAAACCGCGTCTAGCAGACTTAGGACTGGAAAAGCGCGCTAGGAAACACAAGGAGAGGGGCGAGACACCTCGGCTGTGGAGGAAAGGCCGTTCAAGGGATGACAGCAGAGAAGCGCTCAGCGGCAAGGGGCGCAGGATGGAGAGCAGGAATCGCCGGAGTCGCCTCCCGGCAGCGGCCTCGGCCCTGGCACACGGGCACTGGGGGGATTTCTGCATCTTTGTGGCCACAAATGGCTCTTCTCTATGCGAGAAGCTGCGCACTGTGGGGGAATAAATGCGAGCATATGCTCTGCCTCTTCGTTTTTTATCTTACTTTTTTCCTCGGATGCAAAAGTTTTATTAGTCCTTAGGTTAAACCTTCTAAACTAACTTCTTTCTTTCTTTCTTTCTTTCTTTCTTTCTTTCTTTCTTTCTTTCTTTCTTTCTTTCTTTCTTTCTTTCTTTCTTTCTTTCTTTCTTTCTTTCTCTCTTTCTTTCTTTCTCTCTTTCTTTCTCTCTTTCTCTCTTTCTCTCTTTCTCTCTTTCTCTCTTTCTCTCTTTCTCTCTTTCTTTCTCTCTTTTTCTCTCTCTCTTTTTCTCTCTTTCTCTCTCTCTTTCTCTCTTTCCATTTATTTAAAAAGCCTCACAAGAATTTTGCGGCTTTATGGACTATTCAGATTCATCCGACAGGAAGAGGGACGTTTTTGGTTTTGCACAGTTTCCTACCATGAAAAATAGGAAACTCTGCAAAGCTTTTTTTTTTTTCACCATCTGTTTTATTAACATACTTTTTTTTCTTTGTACTCGATAACGGTTGTACTTATTACAAAACAAACTCCTCAACTTTTCAATACATACATCAGTCATTACTGAATGATACAAATGTGGTATCATTTTCAACATTTCAATCATTTGGGGCAGAGGAAAAAGAAAACCCAGCATTTGTAATTGTTTTTATTTGTTCATTCCTGACTCTCCAAAAAATGAAATCCGGTAATACTTTTCTATAAAATAATATTTTTACAAATGCATTTATTAAAAATTCTGATGACATTTCAAGTTAATAACAACAGAAACAAGTAAATTTCCGGTGGACGAGATCTATGGGTTTTTTTAAAAATACCTTTAGTGCTTATTTTTTAACATCAACAGTTGTTTAAAATCACAGCTTTTTTAAACGTATTATTCTTTTCTGAACATCACGTGTCTTTGTTCACAGATTTACCGGCAAAATTAAAAAGATTTGGCTAAAATATGCCTACAGAAGAAATAATCCCAGCTATTAAGTAACTTTTTACATTTGGCATCTGATCTAGTCACAGGTCATCAGAAAATAGAAAGAGGTTCTTTGATCACTTGAAGCAGTAGGTGGCATCCTATACGTTCCTAATGAACAATTGCATTCACAACATAAGGAGAGATCAGTTTAGGATTTTCATATTTATTAACCCAAAATAAAAATAAAGTATCTTGATACATAATTAAGTGCAATTAGGCCAGTCAGAACAACATATAAACCTGAAACCACCCAAGCTTTTCTTCTTTATACATATTTTGTAGGTGCATAATCCTTTCCAGCACACTGAAAAGAAATACTTCAGAAGTCCTTCTTAAAATTTTACTTTGATTTATATTCTGCAATTATAGAATAAACTTCAAGAAACACACGCAGCTAATATATACTTAATTTTATTCAGAGCACCGATTTTCACATAAGAGCTATCTCAAAGTAATGATTTCTGGATTTAGCAGAAAAATACATCTCTCATTATTTTCTTTTTGGTAGAATTAGTCTTATCGCCTAACGGCCATACCTTGAATTTACCAGCCGTGGAAATATTTTTCTTTTTTTTAAATGCACCCAATAATGATAATAATAACTATTCTGTTTTTACGTTTGTTTTATTTGTAAGTATGCTGGGACACATCTCCCTGTTGTATTTTGGCGTACAGAAATATTTCTGATAGAAATTAAATAGAGTAAAGACACAACCAAGGAGAAAGCTCAGCAAACATACATGGACAGGTAGATTATTCAGTGAGACATTTCAGGATCCACACGTGGTTGCAGTTTGTAACCTTTTGTTGTTGTTGTTGTTGTTGTTTTGTGCATTAAAGAAAATATTTACAATCGTCTTTCTTATCTTTTTTTTTCCTTTTTTTCCCCCTCTTTTAAATCTAAATACAAGAACGTGACAAGAACGTTTGTGTTTTCGGTGAAAACAGGCAGTTAAACTGTGAAATTACACCATCCACAAAAGATTCTACCAGAAGCTAGTCTATTTAGTGCTCAGTTTCAAAATGCATAGAATGTTTGCGCTGCAAACAATGATACACAAAATAATAATAATATTAATAAAATAAATAGATAGATAAATAAATAGATAAATAAATAGATAAATAAATAGATAAATAATATCGAGACTTTATCACGGATCTTTC